TCTCCGTCTCCGCCATTGCGCTGGTCGCAGGAGCGGCGAAAGATGCAAGCGTAAGGAAGAAAAAAGCGTCCGCGAGTTGACGAAAGAAGGAAGACGGGAGAGGGCGATGCAGAGAACGAAAACGATATCCCGTCGGCACGTGCACGCGGTTAAAAAAGGTTCACGAGATTTCGCCGCGTCGGCCGCGGCTCGGCCTGGTAAAAGCGGAACCGGCTGTCGTGATACGAATCTGACCAATCATAAAGGCCGCATGTACACGCGCATAATGGCCACTTATTCATCTATCCAGGGTCGCGTAGCGGAACAAAGGCGGAAATTAGTCAGGTTCGTTATGCTTATTAATTGATTGACATTTCCGTCATATTGTACGACGAATCGGAAACTGCTCTCTCGTAAGGTCCTCGAGAAACAGACCCCGCGCTTCTGTATGCCGCGCGAAGCTACAGGACGTTTCATTGACAGCGAAGTCAACGATCTGAAGAAACGTGCCGACGCTTCTGTAGGTGGCTTCCGCGGTCAGATTCAGAAGCGAGATTAAAGTTATTGCGCAATAAGAACAATTATACATAACGCGTAAATGTATAATGAATAAGTATTGAGAGAAGCATCCGTTTCACAACCTCGCGAGATCGCCTCTCTTTGTGATCAATTATTGTCATCATTTGTCACATTTCAATGTGAAGACAACGCAATTCTAATCCAAAAATAAAGAAAAATGATATTATCGTTCGGTAGGTAGTAACTCATCGTGAAAGCGAGTCTCAAAGGAAAGTCGCTTGAATAGGCCAATTTCAATATTTCTGCATTCTACAAAATTTATTCACAAATAATGATATAACGTTGAAAGAAACGATGGTGGCTCGGAATAAAAGGTAAAAGAGTTTGCTAACATTTTCAGGGAAAAGGCTTTGGAAATGTTTCGAGGAAATTTCGAAGATAAGCTTAGCTTATGGACATATCACGCGGTGTTTCCTGATAATTACATATGTAGATATTAATTATTGATTAATACAGCACGTCTATTGGCGGTGATACGGCTGAACAGGAAAAAAGATGAAAATGTAAAATGATGGAAAAACAGCGAGACGGATACGAACGGAATAGATAAAAGGAAAATGAAGCGCGCAGACGCGAAACGCAAGATGCGACTCGAGTGAATCGCAGAAAAATTGCACATAAATGAGAAGTTTTTCATATAACGTATGTTAACGTATAAAAGGCATGTACACATACACACGAAGATACGTTTACTGTACGTATCTGTGCTCTGCATGCTCAAAGAAAGAGCATTCGTATACGAAAATCTCTTTTCCGTATGCGTGGTGAACCGTTATCACGTTAAATCTAAATATCCTTTATTTATATTGTTAACCAAACGTGCAAAAAATGTCTGAAATATATATTGAATTTTTTAAATTATTTTTAAGATGTTATCTAGATAAAGAGGAGGGAGACACGCTATTATTTATTCTCCTCGCATGTGCGACATGTTCCATAAAACAGCGTGTCGTCATTTTCAAAAACTACCATCTTTCGACACATGATATCTCGTTATCTGGTCCCCATGAATGTCGAGAAGAATCAAAAAATGCTGGTATGATGCATGAAGGGATGAAGCAATTACGTGGATTCACTAATAACGATACCCATAGTATGCTGGTCTTCTCTCCTCGCTAATCCATCCTCGTTAAATATAAACCGGTCGAAACAATGATTCTTCGCTACGTTCTATAACAATCATAAAATTGCATCTTTTGTATTTTATAAACGTATTTCAAAAATGTTTTTCTATCACTTTCCTCTCTTGGAGAGGAAGGAGAGGAAAGTGATAGAAAAAAATTTCAATTTTTATACGCAATTACATGCAATTGCGCAATTACATGCAATGTTTAATGTTAAAATAATGTTGTTATTGTTTTTATGCGTGTAATAACTTGTGCGATATTTCAGACGTCAAAGATCCGTTTTGTAAACTCGCGATATTCTATCGCGTATTCATTTTATGCACCCCTCGCGAGAAATTGATAGAAAATGGCCGACCGGTCGATTCTGAAAAGGGTGAAACGGCTCATGTAATGAAGCTCGGGGATTTCTTAATGATGCTGTCGTTGCTAACACTGGCTCTGCTATGTTTATCCTCCGCTAAGGGACGATATGTGAAAAGGAGGGGGCGTATCGATGCCGACATGCAGCTGTGCCTCGTATCATGCACCTATATCCTTGTTGAGAATGGTAATCTATATCGGTGAAGGAATAATGCCATGGGGGTGCCGGAACGGTTTCATTACACGGTTTCCCGAGGGATAATATCCTGGGATATCTCGCCGCGGTCGACCCCACGGGGGTGAAATTCCGTGCCATCAACCCCGCATGAGAGATGAACCCTCTGTGCGGCGACCCCTTACTGGAGGAGCATGAGCTTGAGCAACCCCTTTGGAGGCAAAACGCGTTCGGAGCGAGCAAGGGAGGAAATTGCAGCAACCGACCACATTGGGGCAGGGATCACCATGCGGCGACAGAAAATGGCCGATAGCCTCGTGGCGTTTGCAAATACGAAGGCGCTATTTTAATAACGGTACAGCGAGAGCGAGTTACATCCGTTTCTGGGATGTCTATTCTCTCGCGAAATTACAGAAAGAGCGATACGAAGCGAATTCAGTAACACAACGAGCGCTATTATCTATTTCCAGCTTTTCCCTTTTGTTTCTAGTTATGAGATTTTTAAAGAGACTTAAAAAAAATAGAGAATATACTCCATAATACAGTTTTATATTTTGAGATCATTTTTATTAAAGAAACTGACGCGAGAAGTTTCACGAAGCACATTGACGTTTTACGGAACGTATTTTTTTTTCTTTTTTTTTTTACGTTTCGGCACCCTTTGAAGCTGTCATACGAATAAAGCTTGCCTACCTTGATGCTATTATATCGCGAGCATGCTCGTGCGCGTTGCGATTAGTATTTAATGCACACAATGTATAGGAAAGGGTCCTTTTTCCCGTATCAGATGCGAGATTGGTCTTAGACCAGTTATTAGGCCGCTGACAGGCCTATATAATCCGACTGCCTTTCGTAATGTACAGAACGAAAAATATAATGCCTATTAGCGAGGATCTTTTCAGCGCGGCCCGTGTTGCCCTCGAGATTTTTTCTTCGCCATTATTTCCTTTTTCCTCGCATCGGCCGCGCGTTGCTTCGCGCGGTAATTTTTCATTTCCTCCTGTCCGTTTTGCTTCTAAATCTTGTGTCTATCTAACGATAAAATACGATAATAGATTTAAAGACAATTTTTTCTCTATGTGTATATAATATCACGAAAAATTTAAATCACTTACTATACAGAAACAATGAAGATAATGAAATTGGCAACTATATAATTAATGGAATATTTATTTTATATATAAATATATAACTATATATATTTATGCATATTTATTTATGTATTTATTTTAGTTGTTTCTCGATAGTATCCGTTTCTCGATAGTATCAATTTGAAATTGTAAAATCTTCACTTAAAAAAATACTTTTTTTTCCGAGAATTTATGTCATTTTTTAATAATATTTAAAATTGTTCTGTTTCAGAGAAAATCTGTCAAGAAAACTGCGAGAAAATAGATGCAGGTAAGTCTAACAGATAAAATATATATTCTTCTTTTATTTATTATATTTTTTTGTCGATGTGACGCACCTGTTTCACCTGTTACGTTTAAAACACGGTCGGTTACGACAACGCATTTGTTAATGAAAACGTTGCCGAGAGTTGGTCGAGAGAAAGAGATTTCCGTCAGTTTTACATGGTTTAGTGGATACATTGTATCCTCGGACACGAAACGAAATGTTACGCGAACGTTCCAGGTGTCTGCCCCTATTGTACATGGCGATACTCGAAAAGCACGAAGCGAATATGATGTAACATAATTCGAGCCGTTGAAGCGCGAAGACCCGCCGTAGTTATTATATTTAATACAGCATCCCGATCAGTTAACATCTGCCCGCGGCTCGCTTCTTTATCACAAACGAGAAGAATACTCTCGAGTATTTAATGTGTAACAGCGTGACGAATATGTTCATAGTCAATATATTTAGTTGATAGATTTTATGCTCTTTCAAAGATGACATTACTAATTGTGTACGAGACTTTAAAATAATTTCCAACTTGAGTTTAGTCGACAAATATTGATCGCAGCGGATATATATATATATA